AATACAGGAAACTATTTACCACTGAAATTGGGAGAATGTTTAAGAAGATCACAAGTGAGTAGGTTTTACTAAAAGGAAATTGAATAGCTGATTCTCATACTTTGAAAAAGACACACTCAAAGGGAGGGAGGGACATGGGGGAAGCTACAAGTATAATGTATAAGCTGCATGGCTATTTTTCACAAAAGTTGAGGATAACAATTGAGGTAGAAATGACAAGGAGCACAAATAAGGCAGTCTTAATAGCAAAAAGTTGAATTGCTGCTTTTCATATTTTGAAATGGACACACCCTAAGTGAGGGACATCCAGAGTGTTATCAAGTGAAGGACAGAGGCAAGGAGGTAACCACATAAGGAGATTATTTGTCAGCTTATCTCCTTATATAGTAGAATGGTCCTAGTGGAGGAAAAGAATCTTACTATGCCTTACCAAATAAGGCAAATTCCCTTTTTTATCCATACAAGCTTTAGACCCACACCTACGGTGCACATTATGCCTCTGGTGCTGGTCACAGCTTGCCGGGGGGCAAGCCCCCTGGACCCCCTGGTACACATGTTTAATCCCAGTCTTGGTTCACATTTTTTATCCCAGTTCCAGTGCACATGTTTGATCTACACATATTTAATCCCACTTCCTGGTACACATATTCTGGTGCACATTTTTTGTCTCAGTTCTGGTGCACATCTTTCATCTGAATTATTGATGTTAGACTTAGACCTGAACTTATAGTATGGCACTCGCTTCACTTGGCCATGCCTTGCCAGAGGCAGCTGTCCCCCAAGTACACTGTGATATGTTTAAGTCCAGTTCTGGTACATATTTCCCTGTTTTGGTACTTACAATTTATTTGGATTTGAATTTTTAAAAATACACACCTGCACCTATAGTGGCTGTACTTTGCCAGCTTGCCAGAGGCAAGCCCTTGGACTATCTGATACAAATTTACCAGTTGTGGTGTACATACTTTTCTTCTGCACCTATCACCTGGACCCCTGGTACACATGTTTTATCCCGGTTCCAGTGCACATGTTTAATTCCACTTCCAGTACACATATTTAATCTCCATTCTGATACACATTTTTTATCCCAGTTCTGTGTACATCTTTCATCTGGATCATCAATGTTAGACTTAGACCTGGACACAGCACTCACTTTGCTTGGCTCTGCCTTGCCAGGGGCAGGCTGTCCCCCAGTACACATGTTTAATTTCAGTTCTGGTACACATTTTTACTCCCTGTTTGATACTTACATAAATTTACACTTTAACCTGCATCTATGGTGTGGCACTTACCACACTTGGCCAGAGGCAAGCCCCTTGGACTAGGGACTGTCATGGATACATCTGGGTATTATCCATACCCGATCTGTGGATTTTCCCACCCATGGATTGGATAAGCCACAGTATGGATATATCCGTGGGTATAGCAGTGCAGACCAGCCCTCCATCTATCTTTGTCAGTTCTTTGCCATTTTCCACGAAAAAATATGCGTTAGAAAGCTGTCATTTAGGAGAATTTTGTTATAACAAAATTCACTGTAATATCTTACATGAACTTCAGTAGAAGCTCATTCTTTAATAATGGTGAAGAATGAAAGGATCAAGCCTCAGTTCATAAAAATATCACTGGCATCTTCATAAAAAGCAAGCATCATAATTTATATATGAAGTAAGTCTTCAAAATTGGGAAAAGTCAACTATAAAAATTCTAAATTATGAACCCTGTTGCTGATGATTGCCCAAGGTTGGGCATGAGGGAAACTAGGCTGGTTAGTAAGGAAAAACTGATTTGATAAACTCTTACCTGATGATTGGCCGACATCGGGCACAGTGGGCATTTCATCCATGGCCAGACTCAACTTGGGTTGAACTGGGGGTGTTGGTGTTGGTCGTTCAATGACGATGGCTGGAGTTGCCTGCACCTTGCCTTTGTCAGGTCGGGAAGAAGTACCGACCTCGGCGTCCACACCCAAGGTCATGTCCACCATCTCTGAATCCTCCTCCTTTATAGACTCGAAATCGAACGACTCTCCCTCAGAAACCTTGGCCATTTCTACGTCCTGCTTCGTTGCCTTCATCTTGGGTCTTCGAACGACGACCACACTTTCCTCCTCTCCCCTGTCCTCAGCTCCCTCTGCCATTCG